GCGTCCCCGCCCCCCTCCCATAGGGAAGGGCGGTGGGGAGAGGAGCCGCAGATTCCCCTGCAAACACGCGCCGGTCCAGCTCGGGTTTGACGGCTTTGACATACTATACCGACTCTGGACGCTGCCCTACAACTTTCTGACCAGGATTGTTTGTGCCACTGTTTCTGTCATCGTCCGCAGGCGGAGAGGAACCCCAGCCCGGATAGAGAATCCCACAGCACCGAGGTCTGCACCTCTGCACGCTTCACTGCTAACAACACTAACGCCATTTCTGCTCTTTTCCTCTCACGTGTCTATTTCCCTGTATTCATGCTGTTTCTTAACACGGGAGGGGAAAAGCCTAGAATGTTTGTGTTTGTTTTAAACTAGTTGTTTTAGAGCTGCCTTCAGAAGGGGCTGTCAAATTGGAGGGCTAATAGGCAATTAGCTGCTAGCAGCTGTCGGCTGTTTACTTTCTGTTTGATAGTTTGTAAAGCTTGCATCACGCTGGCAAGCTGTGTCATGTCAACACACAACTCGTCACCTGTGGCTCATGATGCGTCAACGCCCCCCTAATGACATGACATCCCCTAGGTGAAGCACCTTCAACTAAACAACAACAAAAGGTCTTGTGCTATCACAATAAAACAGTCATGTTTGACGTTTTACTCGAATCTTTAAGTAGTGGGTGGTTCTGTTGGATCTGGCAATGAATGTCAAGCAACTGTGAAAGCAGAAATATGCCAAAAGTTTAATGCTGCTCTTAACTTTAGAATTATACTTGAAGTAAAGCAAATGACTGCTGAACTTGAGAGAACTATATAGCAATTGTGGATTGTTGTGTAGGTCCAACCCATTAACCTTATAGGAACCAACAACTGGCGTAGAAAATGACGTAGTCCTTTAGCTATAGAGTGAACATCGGAAATTGAAATTATTGTTCTCATATTTTTTCCGCTCTTTCTGGGCATTTTGTTTTCGCCACTTGCAAAGGCCCAAAACAATAGCTAGTATATAACTAGATACGATATAGCTTTGTTTGCAAGAAGACCTACATAAAATCAAAGTTTATTCAACTCACCGGGTGCCACAAAAGGTCCAAAACAATAGCTAACTAGATACAATATAGCTTTGTTTACAAGAAGACCTACATAAAATAAAAGTTTATTCAACTCACCGGGTGCCACATTAGCAATACAGTGACAGTAATCTGGCTAAAAGATGTTTTATTTTGAAAATGTAATGATCCTTCAATGCTCAGCACCTTGCTACTGGTCTGTAGTGACGGGTGATACTGGCTGACCAGTCCTTAGAACAAAAAAGATGGTGGACCACTGGTATAAATGTAACCACTCCATAACAAACTAATACATATTTCTACAATTGATTATTATTTGACTTACAATAATCTTGCCGCTCTGCATTTGGCCCCGGGCCTTGAGTTTGACACGTATGCTGTAGAGACAGTCACACCCAAAGACTAAAGCTGACATGGAAAAAGAAAATTTCTTTATAGGATATTTTCAACCTCTCAAAGTTACAGTAATAATTACAAACATTCTTGTTTAGAGTAAAGTTTGAACCTGGCTAAATGAAGAAATGTTTCAAGATGTATTATAAAAAATTGTTTAAAAGCACCTTTAAATTGCATGCATGGAGCACTAAAGCATAATAAATTATTTATGGAGGCAACAGATGTATGACCCCTTCAGTTTCACTTCAGCAACTGATGTAGACTGACAGAACGACTCCTGTGGTTTTTTTTGCATCAAAATAAGGAACAGTCCTTCCTGACAGAAGAGAGAAATAAAAACTGAGAAAAGGAAACTGACATTAACAGCGATAGATCATTTTCAGTTCACACAAAACACAGTGTGTCACAAACCTTTTGTAAACATTACATAGCAAGCAGGGGCATAAACCCGTCAACTGTACCAACTTTGTCAACTTGTTCCTTCCGCCACAGGGCACTGATGAAAATGGACACGGATTTGCTCCATTCGCCGGCCTTGGGCCTGACTGAAGAAGAGGAGGCTGACATGAACGACTGGAAGCTTCCTCTGGCCTTCATGAAGAAACGGCACCTGGAAAAGATTGAGGGCTCCAAGGCGTTGGCACAGAGTTGGAGGATGAAGGACAGGGTATGTTTGCCTGTTCAGGCACTGTATGTCCACATGTGTTGGGTGTTCCCCTGTGCTGAGCTGTTGTTTTTTCTGTTGCTTCTATTTATCTGATGTCACTGCGAAGTGATGAATTCTCAGGAAACTCATTGATAGCAAAACATCCTTATAATCTCTTTGACATTTTCTGCAACTTGATGCGTGACTAAAGGGTTTTCATGTTGAGCTGTGACCTCATGCTAAGAAAATGTGATTTTCTGCAATAAATGTAAGAAGATAATTAAGGTTATAAAGATGATATTTACTTTTTACAAAACTCATGTAAATAAGCCACTGAAATGGTATAAAGATGATATTTACCAAACTCATGTAAATAAGCCACTGAAATGGCATCATGCAGTAACAGTGATGTTTGTCATATTTGTTGCCTTAGTCTCACTGTAGTTATCTTGCTGCTGGCTGTTGTTTACAACACAGACATGAGTTGTGCTTTGCAGCTCACACGCTATAGTGAGAGGTTCACAGAGTTCATCTGCTCTGTGTCTTTGGTGGCAGTGGTGGTGCACGGGAAGTAGCAGCACTCGGTTTTGAAAGCACTTGTCATTTTCAGAATGTTTTAGCAGGTGCATGAAATAGTAAAAAGTGCTCTAGATTGAGATTCTGGTTGTCAAGGTTTCCAAGTGGTTGAATTTGAAAGAGGCTTTGGGAATAATTCAGAATTGCAGCTTCTGATCATGGAGTAAAAATAACATAATTGGATTTAATAATAAAAAACATATAAGAATATTTGAGGTAAAAGCTGCTCTATGGTGGCTTCAAAACTAAAGCTATCACTCTTTCTTTAAATTCCGCTTGTGACTTAACTAAAGTTTAAATGGGGAAGACAGTCTTTACACATAATCCAAAAAATAGTTGGATCAATAAAAAAAAGTAAAATTTGATAAAACAGCAGAAATCGAAATATCACGGAAATATTGTTAAATAAGTGTTTAAAAAATAAGTTAGCATCATCCAAAAAATACTTTACAATTTGATAAAATTAAGACTAAATCTTAAATTTAATGTAGCAGATATGCAATTTAGGTGTGAAAGTGTGGACCTATGAAAAATCTGTGCAAGAGTCCGGAAGAAAAAAATAGCCAAAAGTAACATAAGATAACAGATATAGAGATAATCTCAGAAATTACTTAGAAGTAGTCCCCGTACTCTGATTAAGGAGTAACTCTATTGGCCAATGATACAAAAAGCACTGAGAAGACATCCGTTTCCAGATGACCAGGACAGAGCTCCAAATGACTGCCCCTCCCCCCGAACCTGTTTTTTTAAATATTGGTCCGGTTCATTTTCTACACCCTAAGGCGACCCGTACCTTGCTTCGACAGGCGCACCTCAAAGCTTTTCTTCGTGAATGGCCGCAGCGCTCTTTTTCGCTCTCATAAAGCTGTCCCTTCATTCACTGCTGCGCTGCCGCTCTGATGATTTGCCCTGCGGCTGCCGTGGCTGGTGCCATGTAATCATACATAACCTTGTCAAAGTCTGCACCTGTTGTAGAATATCACCCACATGAGACGTCCACGTCTCCATGCTGTTTGGACGTTGGTGAGATTACGTCCGCGGAGACTGCTGAGGTGTCGCGCTTCGGGGAACTGTTGAATAAGTGGACGGCATTAAGAGCGAGGCAGCTATTGATTGAAGGAGGCGATGGAGCCTGACTGAAATGGGCCTTCCGGTCCAGAATGTCCAGCTAAACTGACTTCGTAACAATTTATTTGTCGTTAGTCACGGTATTTTTTGGGGGTGTTGGAGCATCTTTTGTTCCCACAGAAGAAGAACTGTTGTAGGTTTAGGGAGTTTGGGCTGGAGACAACGTTTTGTGTTTGATGAAGCAAGAATTGAGCTGCCAATGCAGCTGACGTGGGGGGGATTTTGAATCCGCCTTCTTTTAAGGATGCAGGGACTCGTACTCTCTCGCATTGTTCGTGGGTGATCATGATCACGATATCGAGCGCCGTGGCGTGCGAGGCATAAACTCTGGGGTTGAGAGCGTGTTGTAAATGATCCTTGGCACTGTGGGAAATCAGAGGTCCTGTTCTTGGAGGCACGCACACATAAACCAATCAGAGGACAGTAGGGAGTGAGGGGGAGAGAGTTGTTCAATTGCAAGGCTCATTGGTCAAAATGGTCTTTTTATTGCCCAATTGGCTCAGTGACAGCTAGTGTGTGGGTGTATGTGTGTGCTCTGTGTGTGTGTGCGTGCGCGTGCGCGTGCGCACGCTTGCGGACCAGTGTTTCTGCACCAGCTCAGAGGCACTGAGATAAGTGTTTGCAGATAACCATATCAGTGTGGGTTCAGTAAAGTCCAAGGTCTGGGATAATCAGATTTTGTGCAATTTTTCTAAAACCATTTGATAAAAAAACAGCTTTTTGACAACAGCTTGTCCAAAAGTAACACCAATACAATTTGAAAAGTTGTGGTCAATGGCAAGGCCACATAGCAAAATAAGCGGTGAGTGTGCTTCATTTAGTGTATAAATGAGACTTTAATGGTTTTGAACTTGATTCATATTCACGAGAGTGAAAGAATAAAGCTGTTAAGGATTTCTTTTTCTCATTTGCTCGACATTTCAGGCGACCCGATGTGGGGTTGCGACCCCGCAGTTGAAAAACACTGGGCTATTTTGTTGCTTCTCATCTCAAGCCTGACTTTTGCCACCACATAATTACACTGGTAATGAGCTTTGAATATTCTAAGCCAACAGCATTAGTCTTGTTGTTAGTCAAAGTAAGTGTAAAAAAATGAAGAAAAAAAAAAAAAGCTAAGTTATTACACATTACATTATTATAAATGAGCTGTTTCTCTATTGGATTTTAATTGGAGAATTAGACAGACACAGCGAGGTCAGACCTCATGTCTCCCCGATAAACACTCAGTCATAACAGTAGCAGTATCTAATGAAAGTACACACAATACCAGGACCTTGAGACGGAAGCAATTAAAAAGTATTCACCCTCCACCATCACTGCTCTGAACCGCGTTCAACTGTTTCTGATGGAGCATTTAGAGAACGTTTAAAGAGACGGCAACGCGTTCCTGCGGTCCGTTCCAGCCGTACCTCAGCAGATCTGTTCATATTGTGCGGTGGCTTTTACTTTATTCTGACTGCAGCAGCTCTTATGCTGCATGAGCCAGTGGAGGCAGTGAAATATTCATCAGGTGTAGCAGTAAGTGACCCTGAGTTCAGACGCTGAGATTCAAAAGACACAAAGGTCTGTTAAGCCCTGGAGATAACAGTCATCAGAGACTCTGAAGCTAAAGCTAAGGCCGCAGCTTTTTCGTTTGGGTCGGCGCTGAGACGGTTCAAGTCGTTGGCAGTGCTTCACATGAGCTATTGCCTATTAATACCATCGCTGTCAGTCAGTGGACGGCAGGCCCCAGTTAGGACAAGACGACGTTTTCATTTCCTATTGGGGTTCTACAGTGTCTGCCGGAGACAAATCTTTTAATTTACAGCGATTAAAAAAAAAAACCCAAATGATTTATTTATTTATTTTTTGAAGCATTAAGACCAATTCTATCTTCCGTTAATGATACGTGCTGCAGTATCTTGCCCCTGGTCCCAGTCCAATCTTTTTACTTTTTACGGTCTGCTGGAGTTGCAAAAATATCCTGCGAGCCGCGATGTACCGTAACAGTAAGGGACAAATAAACAGAGCAACCAAGAGATACTTTAAATACGGGGGTCACTGAAACATGTGTACATCCTGGTTGGTGTACTACTGCTTCTTGTACTTACAGCTCTGATGTAGCATTTTATGCAAGATTAGTTTACCTTCAGAAAATGTAAAGGAGCTGCTTTCAATAAATGAGGGCCAACCACATAAACAGAAACCACAATAAATATATTTTATTTATAGGAATATCTACTAGTACGTTGTCTTGTTAGGTGTAGTTTTGAATACTCAAAGAGCGGTGGCTTATAAATGTCTTTGTTACATACCTTGAACCAGATGGGTTTTGACCTACCTTGCGGAGAAAACCTGCCTGTCACCTGTGATTACTCTTCACAATCCCCTGCAGAGCTGTGAGCCGTGTGACGTCAGAGCCTTGACGCAAACCTGACGTGCAGCCCACCGCCCCCCCACCCCCCGTCTGTGCCAGTGTCCCGTCTGATGCCCTTCTGTCCCAATTCTGCATTCCGATTTTTCAGCCGTAGACGACTTATTTTTAGGTAGCTCTGGCATCTGAGCACTGAAAAGAATGTTCAGCTAACAGGTAGATCAGAGTCGGGTTTTAGCAGAGGCAGGAATTGTATTCTACCTGTAACAGACCTTATGAGCAACCTGCCCATTATACAAGGTGGGCAGTAAATTGTACTGTGTTGGGTCTACGAGGTTGGAAGTTTGTCTAACAAACAGTGTATATTGGGTAAAACCAATAATGAATGCTTAATGTGCTTGGTTGTTCAGTTATTTCTTCAGCTTTATCCTGTAATTGGTATTTAGGAGACAAATATATTTTTCAGTGTGTGAATTTGTGTGACCGTTCGCTCATGTTAGTTAGATAAATCATTACACACTATTAATTAGGTACTGCTAATTGGACAAAAGTACCTCAAAATTTAGTTAAAAGAAATCACTTTTGAAATTCAAAAGTGTGTGATTACCTATAATTCAGGGGTTTTGGCAAACCTTTAGGCTAAAATAAGATTCAAAATGTGACTGTCTGGACGGTTCACCATTAGTCGGATGTAGAATACTATATATAGTGAAATAATATTTTAAAAAATTAAAAGAATAATACTAAACTTTCCAAAGTTATTTGGCACATTTGATGTCTGTCGCCATCGGATGCCAAAATGAATTAAGAATTGATCAAGAAAGAATTGAAATCAAGAAATTAGAAAGCTTCTCATGTCATATTATCACAGACTTATTCACCTTACGTGATATTCTACCAAGGAACACGCGTTATGAGCAATTGTCTTGAAATCCTCAAGAAAGTTCTTCCCATTATAAAGTGA